CATTTGACTGCTGTGCGACGAATCTTAAGATACCATAAAGGCACTGTGAATCTAGGCCTTTGGTATCCCAAGCATTCAGGCTTTGACCTAGTCGGATATTCGGACGCTGATTTTGCGGGTTGCAAGATGGACCGCAAAAGTACATCGAGAGCCGTCCAGTTCTTGGGCGAGAAGTTAGTCTGCTGGTCTTCCAAAAAGCAGAATTGTGTGTCAACATCTACAGCTGAGGCAGAATACGTCGCGGCTGCTAGTTGTTGTTCACAAATATTATGGATGAAGACTCAACTCAAAGACTATGGTTATACATTCCGCCATATCCCGATCTACAGTGATTCACAGAGCGCCATCGCCATCACCAGCAACCCAGTTCACCACTCCCGCACCAAACACATTGATCTGCGCTATCACTTCATCAAGGACCACGTGGAAAAAGGAGATATTGATATGTATTTTGTAAACTCGGAGCTTCAATTGGATGACTTGTTTACTAAGGCATTGGATGAAAAAAGATTCCAGTTCCTAGTTTCCAAGTTGGGCATGTTGAACCTCGAGCCTGTTTAAATTTCATCTCCACTGGTCCGAAACTAGTGTGTGTGGGACTTGTAAAAAGCGTGTGTGGGTGTGATCTGTAAATAACATGTGTGTGTTGCATGTGTCAAGGGGGAGAAAACCCAAAAAGAACAAAAATAGTGTGTATGTTGCATGTGTCAAGCGGGAGAAAACCCAAAACGGACAAAAATAGTGTGTGTGTTGCATGTGTCAAGGGGGAGAAAAAGCGAAAAACATCAAAAAGAGTGTGCGTGCGTTGCATCTGTACATAGTGTGTGTTGCACTCATTAAGGGGGAGAAAAAGGACAAATATTTCACGTTGCATGTGTGTGTATATTTTTGCACCGATTGAGGGGGAGCTCTAATTTTTACTGTTATTGGGCCTCGAAAATCATTTTAAATAGGCCTTATGTGGAAGCCCATCCGTTCGGTCCCAACTTTTACGGAAAAGGCCCAGTCCTTGATTTCTCGCATATAAAAGGGATCTGAGAACTCGAACGACTCTTCATCGTTCTCATTCGTTTTCTCTGCAAACCTCGCAAACCAGAGCTCCCTCGAAAAATCTCGCAAACCAGAGGCCCAAACCCTTCGTCTTCTCCCCTAACTCTCCTCCATCTCTCCCGTTCTCACTTCGAAGGTAGTATAACGGGGCTATCAATCTTCTCTTCTACTCTTCTCCATCGCCACCCGCTGAGTTTTCGAAACAAAAACCCAAATTGAAAACCGTTCGATTAAAGTTCAAAAAGGGGTTTTTACGGTTTTTTTGAAGGTCGTAATTGACCATTGTATCGTTTTTGCGTCTCTGTATTGTATATTTTTTGCAGGTGGGATCGTCGTTTCGAGATTCATGATCTCGAGTTTTGGATTTGCAGATCTCGATATCGTCGGTTCATCTTCGAGAAGAGATCTCGATATGTAGATCTCGACATCTGGATCTCGAGCTTTAAAACTCGAGATCTCGATCTCGAGATTTAAATCTCGTCATCTCGATCTCGAGATGTAAACCTCGATCTCGAGATCTAAATCTCGATATCTCGATCTCGAGATCTAAATCTCGATATCTCGATCTCGAGATCTAAATCTCGATATCTCGATCTCGAGATCTAAACCTCGATATCTCGATCTCGAGATTTAAACCTCGATATCTCGATCTCGAGATTTGACTCTCGAGATCTCGATCTCGAGATTTAAACCTCGACATCTCGATCTCGAGTTTTAAACTTCGAGATCTTGATTTCGAGATTTAAAAACTCGAGATCTCGAATCTCGAGATCTCGAATCTCGAGATTTTGACTTTGAATTTTTTAACAAAAAAGGCCCACCTGCACCCATTTTCTGAAAACTCCAAAAACACAATCTTTCACAATCAAATCCCAAAGCAAACAAACAACAGACTAATGTGCTGACCCCTGCTTTTATAGTTCATTATGGCAGGAACACATCAAACTCAAATTGACGACACCATCTACCCAAAAGGGAAGTGGATGAAGGTGCTGGATAACAACTACCAGCTTGACCTCACCGTGTTCAAATGCCAGGACCCGATCATTCCTGCTATCATGAAAGGTCACTATCTCTGGGCCGCACTCCACAGCGCCAAACCAGTGCCAGAGATATACCTACAACAATTCTGGGGACATATGCATACAGAGTCTGTGAAGGATCGCTCCAAGATCAAGACGAAACTGGATGGTATGCGCGTAATCCTGACGCCGTCCACACTACGATCCACCCTAGAGCTGCCAGTCCACGATACATATGATCCTCTGCCGTCCATTCCTGACCTTCTCAAAGACGTTGCAATTCTTGGCTACGCCTCTCTTCTCCCCAAGCTATCCAATTTCAATGGGGCATATCTCCAACACCCATGGAAGAGCCTGTTCGGGCTAGTGAACAAATGCCTGTCACCGAAGCATGCCGGGTTTGACAAATGCAACAGGCAGATTCTCCTGATCCTCCACGATATTGCTTACAACAAGAAGTGCGACATGGCTGAGCTGTTCTTCTCAGAGCTCATGGATCTCGTCAAGGCAAAGGAGAAAAACAAGTCGGGCACCATCCCATATTCTAAGTGGCTCGGGCTAATCATCCACGACACCATGACCACGCATGCCCCAATCCCTAGAAGAAGTGAAGATCCACATTTCTCCGCTCCAAAGCTTCTCTACTTCAAGACTGACAAAAACCCCGTCACTGGCCTGCGGATTCCTGGGTTCCTGCTAAATCTCGCCAATCCGTCCAATCCTGCAGTCCAACAGTACAGAGAGAGTGTTGAGAAAACTGTCCCTATGGTTCAGCAAAACCCAGCTGGACCTACCCCGGGGACACAACCGAGTGCACGTGAGGGTTCTAAGAGAGCCTAAAAGCCACAGAAACCAGTGGCCGGTTTGCCCCATGAAGGAAAGTCCGACGACTCTCTCGAGACGAGTCGGACGGCTGAGGGCACCGCAACGGACGCTGAGAAATCTGCTGATGAATCGTCCAGTGATGCCCGCAATAACAGTGACGATGAGGCATCCGATAGCGTGGGTACTGATGGCGATGAGTCAGATTCTGATGATGATGGTGAGAACAGTGACGATGTTGAGCATACCTATGCTCTGATCAGAAAGGGTAAGCTGCCTGCTGAATCTCCAAAAAGGATAACCGCTGAAGACGCAACACCCATAATCGTCGGCCGACCCAAGACATTCACCATCAAGGACTTACAAACATCCAAAAGTGTACACAAAGATATCTGCAGCTCCAAGGCTGACTACGATGAAGCAGCCCACGTCATCAAGAATACTCAGGATGCCATCATTCGCGAGAAACGGGCAAAAATCAAGAATGACAAATCATCTAAGCCCAAGCCTCAGCCTCACATCAGGAAGAGCCTAATAGATAAGGCTGATGAGGACATCTTCGCTGGATGTGAACCCTTTATCCAGATAAGCCGAGCTGAATCCCTAAGTACAGGAGCCGATCTTTTCGGTTCCCGAGTAGAAGCCGTAGCATCTGGCTCAACTGCGCATGCACAACCCTCCTCCAGCCACTCGTTAGCCTCCCAACAGGCTATCGTTTCAACATCACGGGACTCACCCACCTCTCTGGTTCCTTCCGAATCAGTTGAGCGAACTGTTGGCCAACCGCCCGAGGTCACAACCCCTCCTTCAAACACATCGAGTCTAGGTGTCACATTTCCCACATTTTCTTCCTTTTCTAGGACACCTACACTATTCACAGCACATACAGATGCACCCACCCTGAACGCAACGACCAGAGCGCAAGCTATGACGGTCGGAAGTCTTGCCATGCCTACAATGATTCCATCATTGAACGCATGCCACACATCAGCTATCTTCACTGATGCTGTGACAACAGTTACAACCCCCGTAACTGGCCATCCCACCTTTGAAGATGTCAACGTTCTCCTGAATCGCTTCCTGGATTCCACCATAAAACCATGGGTGCAAGAAGCAATGACCGCTCTTGCACAGGAATTTAGGACCACCCAAGCGGTTCAGCCTGAACATCCCACACCCCAACCTGCACCCAAACCCTTCATCTCCCATACCCAACCGATATCTTCCACAACCCTCTCTCACCACTCCATCAACCAAATACCCATCTCTTCACCTTCTCGGGGCACCCATGATATAGAACCAGTATTATCCCCACACCCGACCACACCTTCCATCGATCTCCTATCGCTACCCTTCGACACCTTGGCATCGGCTATGCTGGTCCATCTCCTCAACATACCACAAGCCAACCTCACCCCTACCAGCAAGCCATCCTCAATGCCCTCCTCTCTTCACCTGAGACCAAGAGCAAATGCCATGACAGTCCTCGTGGTCGAAAACGTTCCCATGAGGACCCCGACGATTCAGATCCTCATGAGGGGGAGAACAAGCGGCCATGAACACTCGAGCAAACTACTTTCACCAGCCACACTCCACAGCCCGATCAACCTGAAACCTCCACCAACCAACAGCCACCTGTACCCAACCAAACCCAAGCCAAACTTTCTAGCCTCGTCGAGCTAGATGAAACATCCCGAGGTGTATCTCCTAAAGATACCAACCGAGGAGGGGATGGAAGTCCTGATGATGCTACTACAGGTACATCTTATAAGTCAGGCCATCAGTTAGAACCTCGTTCGAAGCTGATGACAACAGGAAATCCTAGTGACCCCGGTGTCCCAGGTAACAGGTCTCCGTCACTACAAGATCAACCAGCTCCTACCACTATGTCATCAGACGAAACAGCTGGATCAAAAACTTGAGGAGGCATCGTCATACATTCTAAAGGAACATTCGACGCTGGAAACCATTCTAAAAGCCATTGACGATCGCCTGGACAAGAGAAACATGCTGAGACAATATGAGCACGCGCTAAACATGAGGAAGCACTACTTCAAAGCTCAGAAGCAATAGCAAGGTGGCACTTGATCACAAAGGGGGAGATTGTTGAAGATCATTTAATTGTGAATCAAGTTTGTCACATATCTTGTAATAGATTAGCTTTATTATATCCTTGTATTCAATATTTGTATTTATTAGGATAAATGATATGGGGCCAATGTGTCAGGCCCATATCAGGTTGAAAACCTTTCCGCCAACCCTATACCTGCGCGTATAAAAAGGCGCTTCAGGTTAAGGGTTGCGTTAACTTTCGTACTCGTTCCAAATAGCCTTAGCGCAATATTCTTCTCTGTACGAGTTCACGGTATATCAAGGAAGGTTATCATCGATCATCTTGTGTTCATCTTTATCGTTAATCTTCTACTTGTTATACTATTAATCTTTGCTGTAGTAGAAAACAGGGACTAACAAATTGCAAGTTTTGAAATCTCAGATTACCTACTTCCTAATGCCATTCCACCACATCTTCAAGCCCAAGCCGAACAACCCGAACAAATCGAGCATCAAGAAGCCCAAGAAAATGCCCAACATGATATCCCTGACCCCCCTCAAAACCCACCACCACAAGACATTCTCCAACAACTTTTGGCGGGTCAACAATCCCTCCTAACCGGATTTCAAAACATGGGCCTCGAATACACAAGAATGGGAGGACAATTTGCCCATCTTCAAGAAGAAATTGGCCACTATTGGGAGGAGAAAAGGGTAAGGGATCAAAGAATAGAGGAGTATCGGGCAGAGCAACAAGCGGCTTTCCAAAGAATGGAGGAGCTACGGCAAGCTGACCTCCATCGCTATGAAGAAGACTATCGTAGGACTTATGGTCCTATGTACTCATATATCCCCCATCACATGAATTTCTCTTCTATGGACGCTCCTCCCCCACTCAATGGGGTAACTTTGGAGGTTCAAGCTCCGGTGGTGGGGGCTATGATGGCGGGATGAGTGGCGAAACCACTATGGGTGAAGAAGGCGGCACCGGCGGCACCGGCGGAGGCTTTGGAGGAAGCTTTTATGGTGGCGAAGGTGGGCATTAGGGACAATGCCTCAATCTAAGAAGGGGGAGACCACTCATTGGTATGTAAATTTTCTTTTTCCTACCTTGTAACTAGCATGATTCTCTTTACTTTTGGTATTAATTTAACAAAAAAAATCAAATAAAGAAATGAATGCTAGTTAGGTTGAAAACCCAAAAAATGGGTAATCTAAGAAACAAAGGCTTATAAAAAAATGAGCATGGTAAGGAAGAAAACAGAAAAGAGATGCTAGGATGAAAACCTGAAAAGGCTCCTAGGCAAAATTAGAGATATGAGAGAAATATGTGTTGTTGCAGGACATCATCTTTTGGAGAAAGAGGAAGTGAAGAAGAAGAAGAAGAAGAAGAAGAAGAAGAAAAAGGAAGAAGAAACAAAGTGCATGGAAGATAAAAAAACTCAAGAAAATGTTGTTTTGAATAACTCATTTGCAAACCTTGGTGATCTTATGTTCTTTGTTTTTGTTCTTGAACTTATGAAGATTTGTTGAGACACTTGTGAACATTTTACTTTACTCGAGGACGAGTAAGGAAACTAAGTGTGGGGGAGTTGATAATCGTGTAATTTCCATGTTTATGTTTGTGTTTTTAATTAGTTTTGATTAATTGTTACTTTGGAAATTACACACTTTTGGTGTAATAGTTTACTTTGTAAAATACTTGTAAATTGTTTAGATTAGGTTTATTCTGAGCTCAAACAGGTCCATGATCACTCAAGAGACCATTGGTGAACCCCAAAAGTGGAAGGAAGGTGCAAAATCACAAAAGAAATAGAGGATCCTGATTTTTTGGTCTATACCCGGTCGGATATGACCTATACCCAATCAGGTACCTTGTTGAAATATCAAATCGGATCAGATCCGGGACAAGGCAACACGCAGGAAGATATTTTACCACGTTCGCGTGTCATACCCGATCGGGTGACCGACATACCCGATCGGGTATGTCCCACTTTTCGATCTTTCGGGAAGCCACTAAAGGTACCCGATCGGGTGCCCTTGATGCCCGATCAAGTACACACCCCTGTATGCTCCAAAAGCCTATAAATACCACTCTTTCCTTCCCAAAGAAAATCACCAATTCACATATACTTCTTAGCTCAGTTTAGACAAGCTCTTTCTTTATATTTTTATCATGTTTAGTCTCCAAATGAGGAGCTAAACTCTTTCATCTTGGTTTTGCTACTTTGAAGCTTAATGATTTGTAAGTTGTGAGTTATTTTCTTTAATCTTCCTCCTTGAATATTAATTATTTCCTATTCATATTCTATATTAATATTTTGAGCATTACTTAAAGGATCAACTAGTTTTGTTTCATATATTAATTATTACTAGAATCAATTGATTAATACACTTGTTATTAATTCGGTTCATTCAACGATAGTAAATTTGGATTATCAATGCATGCATCTCATGGTTAATAATCTAAGGGGAATTAATTATATTGATTAAACCAATAAACCGCTTGTGTTGAGGTTATCAATCTCAATCGTTTTCATCTTAAGTTTATTGCTACTATCGGGTTAATATACGGCATGTGTTCTATATTAACTCGGTAATAAGTTTTATTAATGAACACATCTCGTTATTAATAACTACCCTCGATGAAATGGAGATACTCCTCGATTGAGTATTCGAGAGGAAGATAGTTAAAGATATAACCGGGATCGACGAACATTTCATTAAGTGGTAAACCACATAAGTCGTTCAACTTAGTGTTTAAATACATTTTAAGTTCATCACTCAATCAGAACGCCCCTTGTTACTACTTATATAAAAGAAGGATATTTCTTTCCCTGTGGATACGAACCTTACTACACTATACTACGTATAAGTGTTGTATTGAATATTTATTTTGAGTGCACACCACGACAAAGTGCACATCATCAGTTTGCTTTACATATTGCTCGAAACCCGGTGTTCCATGAACGTACGAAGCATATTGAAATAGACTGTCATTTTGTTCGTGATGCTATTAAAGTCGGGCTTATCTCTCCCAGCTATGTTTCTACTACTCTTCAGCTAGCGGATATCTTTACTAAAGCTCCTGGGAAGACTCAGTTTCACTATCTTCGGCGCAAGTTGGGTATTTTGAACCCCCATACTACAACTTGAGGGGGGTATTATGGGAAGAATTATATTTGGAAAATAAATATTCTAGAATAATCAAAAGGCATGTGTCATTTTACTACCTCATATTTGAAGTACACGTATATGTAAAATAAAAATAGACATTCTGTATTGACAACTGACAAGACAATTAGTCAATTTACATATAGTATCTAAATTCGAAATTTAGTAATGTATTTAGCTCAAAATTCGTATGCGTAGCTTTAGAGTTCATAATTTATTATTTAGCTTTAGGATACGAATTTGTAATATATCTAATAAGTTATATTTTAATATTATTATCTACATTAGTTAAGTAATTAAATTCGAATATAATAATAAAATATAATGGGACAGATTCCTTTCAGAGTTAAACTAGTGGTTGATATATTATTAGTGGTTAATATATTGTAAAGTATGATAAATAAAAAGCTACATACTTCGTATAGGAATTAAAGGGTAAAGATTGATGTGTGGTTTTTAATTAATAAATTTAATTCAACAACACGAACTGTACCTATAGGGATTGGAATTATAATACAATGTTACGATTTAGGTTAATAAAAACGATAAATTAAAGAGCAAGAACACAAGAATTTACGTGGTTCACACAATCGGGGTGATTGTGCTAGTCCACGGCGAACGAGAGAGAGCTGTTTTATTATTATGTTTGCGTCCGGGGTATTACAACGTACAAAGATATGCTTAAATAGGTTTAAGAAAACCTAAACAAAGATTAGAGCCGCAGGCCCAAAAAATTAAGCCCGTAATTAAGATTAACCCGTAGACCCGGTCGGGTCTCCTATTTGACCCGGTCGGGTATCTCCTCAGCAAGCGCGCCCGGGTTGAAACCAGGGCGGGTAACCAAAACAGAAAGGTAGAATCTCCACTGGCCCGGTCGGGTCCCCTTCTTGACCCGGTCGGGTGTCTCCTTAAAAGGCATACTCGGGTAGACACCAGGTCGGGTATCCTAAATAGAAGCCAAAACCTTCCACGGACCCGGTCGGGTAAACTTCCTTACCCGATCGGGTTTCCCAATCCAGAGAGTTGCCCGGCCAAATTCACATCATACCCGGTCGGGTGACTGACCCCACCCGATCGGGTATCTCCTGCTGCTGCACAAACAAGGCTCCATCTTCAACAATCTCCCACTTGGAGGCTTGTTCAACAATCATCTGCCATCCAAGAACTTGTATCCTCCGTAAAACCCCTGATCTCTCTCTCTCTCTCTCTCTCTCTCTCTCTCTCTCGTTCACGCCTTCTCATCAAGTATCTGGAAGGCCAGTTGAAGCCATGCAAAGCTTCAACTTCTCTGTTGTCACCGCCTTGGTTAGCATGTCTGCCGGATTCTTCGTACCAAGGATCTTCTACAAATTTATAGTACCATCTTCAATCAGCTCTCAGATGAAATGATATCGGATCTTGATGTGTTTCATTCTGCTGTGAAACACCGCTTTCTTTGCGAGATGAATACACTCTGGTTGTCACAATATAGAGCGCAATCTCCCTGCTTCATGCCCAACTCAGAAAGAAAGTTCTTCAACCAGATCAACTCCTTGGCCACTTCAGCAATGGCCATATACTCTGCTTCTGTGGTTGAAAGAGCCACACTCTTCTGTAGTCTGGACATCCAACTGATTGCCGTACCTCCAATAGTGAATACACACCCCGTTGTGCTCTTCCCAAGAATAATAGCAACCCCCCAAATCAGCATCGGCAAATCCTTCAAGGATCACACCATTCCTTCTGAAACATAGGGCAATTTCAGAAGAGCCTTTCAAGTAGTGCAACAGCCACTTAACTCCTACCCAATGCTCCTTTCCTGGATTTGACATGAACCTGCTAACAACTCCCACTACATGACAATGTCTGGCCTTGTTGACACCATCGCGTACATCAAACTGCCAACGGCTGATGCATAAGGAACTTTAGCCATTTCTTCTTTGTCTGCATTGGTCTTTGGAGACTGCTGCTTGGAGAGTTTCAGTTGACTCCCTAACGGTGTACTCCTTGGTTTGGCATCCGTCATTCTGAACTTCTCAAGGACCTTCTGAATGTACTTTTGCTGTGAAAGCTGTAAAGTACCTTCTATCCTGTTTCTGACTATGCTCATCCCAAGAATCTGTCTCGCTTCCCCTAAATCCTTCATCTCGAATTCTTCTGACAACTTCTTCTTAAGCTTGTTGATCTCTTGCATATTTGCTCCAGCCACCAACATGTCATCAACATACAAAAGAAGGATGATGTATGATGACTTAAATCTCTTCAAGTAGCAGCAATGGTCCATTTTGCATCTAGTGTATCCATTCCGCTGTATAAAATTGTCAAACCTCAAGTACCACTGTCTAGGAGCTTGCTTTAGCCCATATAGACTCTTCTTGAGTTTGCACACCGACTTCTCCTTACCACTCACTGGGAACCCTACTGGTTGAGCCATGTAAATGTCTTCTTCAAGGTTGCCATGAAGAAAGGCAGTCTTTACATTCAGCTGCTCCAATTGCAAATTTTCAGCAGCAACAATACCAAGGATCAACCTGATAGTAGTCATCTTCACAACCGGAGAGAAGATTTCATTGTAATCAACCCCCTTCTTCTGTTGGAACCCCTTGACAACTAACCTTGCCTTGTATCTTTTGCTCCCATCTGCTTCATCTTTGATTCTGAACACCCACTTGTTCTCCAAAGCTTTCTTTCCCGGTGGTAACTTGACTAAGGACCAAGTTTGGTTCTTATCAAGTGAATCTAACTCATCCTCCATGGCCTTCTTCCACTGTATGGAATCCTTCACAATCAACGCCTCTGTGTAAGATTCTGGCTCTCCATTCTCGGTCAGCAACAGATAATTTGCTGAAGGAGAATATCTGTTAGGAGGTCTTCTGTTTCTAGTGGATTGTCTGATTTGTGGAGTAGCTTCCTCCGAGCTCCCACTATCTTCATCACTCCCACTATCTTCAGAAATTCTTGTATCTCCTGAGCTCCCACTGCTCCCTGAGCCTCCAGCCATGCCATCACAACCAATAGGTTGTGCTATGTCATCTTCAGTCAATCCTTCAAACACCACTTGCTGTTTGTTTTCTTGTTGTTTGCCTTTGCTAGTGTCTGCTGCAAGATCATCTTTATACAGAGCATTCTCGTTGAAGGTGACATCTCTACTTCTGATAACCTTCTTGTTGTGGTTGTCCCAGAACCTGTAGCCCATGTCATCCAGCCCGTACCCAATAAAGATACATTTCTTTGCCTTTGTCTCGAGCTTGTCACTATCTGCATCTCTAACTTTGACATAAGAAATACAACCAAAAAATTTCAAGTGATTAAGAGATACCTCATGACCTTTCCATTCCTCCTCTGGAATTTTGAACCCTATGGGAGATAAGGGTCCTCTGTTGATCAAGTATGCTGCTGTGTTCACCGCATCGGCCCAGAACATCTTTGGAAGTCCTGCATGTAATCTC